TCATTTACGAAGAAACTGACCATTCCACGGACCACCTGCGAACGCAGCTTCGTAGGCATGTCCACCATGTTTCCATCCTCGACATACGTCCTCAGCTAGAAACTCCGCTCCATTGCCAAGACAAGGTCTCGATCACTTCGGGGCGCAAGGACTTCGTCTCAAAAGCATACACAGGAGGCTTAGTCGGACGGCGAACCTCAAAACATGAGATAGCTCAAAGGAGTGCTGCACTACCTCCCTTTTAGCCGAAGTTTTCGTTGAGCGCTTGGCCGTGTGAGACAGAAATCAGCTGTTGTGGAGCCTCCAAATGTTTCCCCGCAAATGCCGGCTGGCATGCTGCGACAGAGCCTTCAGTTGCTGCTGTGCTTCCGCATAGGGATCGTCATCAACTCGCTGCACAGGAGCTTCAGGTCAGAAATCAGTGTCTCCCGGAATTGGGCCTGACCCTCGTTAATTTGCAGGGCTCTCACTAGCAAGGGACACCCACTTCTGACGCGAGGCTTCGTCAGTGCTCGCAGAAGCGCCTCTCTGTGAGACTTAATCTGCTGTTGCTATGATTCCTTTGGGGTCCGGTGAACATCGCTGTGCCAGACCTGCTGTCAAAGACCACCGAAATGCGCAAAGGGGTCTTGGAGCAGGCAATGCAGTGTGCAGAGCATCTTACCGACGTTCTACACCAAGACGACACTTGAAGCCTCAACGCGTTGACCCAACAACTGTCACCATGGGCCAAACCATATAAGAGCTGCAGAAAACGAGTGATGACAAGACCAATCACAGCAACGCAGCGCGGAGCGGGGCCGGCTCACTGAGGACAGATTCCTTCTGCCTTGCCATTCGGGCGAAGACTGTCATGGCAAATGGTCTTCTGGCAAGGGATGCTTCTTTGATTGAGGTAGCGGCGTCCCAATGAACTTGAAGATGCGCTCAGCCTGGCAACATGGACAGGCATAGCATGTTGTGCTGGTGCCTGACAGTCCCACGACTTGACGTCGGCTACGGCGGAGGATCACAATCAAGCTCGCAATATCGCGAAATCCAGGGTAAGTGCACTCTAGGCCCTAGGCTTTGGATTTAGAGCTGCGCGTGTGAAACTCCATAAAGATTAGCGGCACTGGCGGTGACCGAACATTCGGGCCCAGCGCCCTTGTCCAAGGCTGAGCCCGTCACTAAACTTGTCGGCCCTATACGGGTACAGATGGGTGGGGGGTTCGGGCCGGGGCCGACGCCCGGCCGCTTTGGACCCTTCGGGGAAACTCTCATGAGCATCATCGGGGATGTCTCGCAAAACCGCACCTCCCCCCCCTCTCTCTTTGGCTCTCTCCTCTTTGTCTCTGTCTCTCTCGCTCTCTCGCTCTCTCCTCTCTGTCTCTGTCTCTGTCTCTGTCTCTGTCTCTGTCTCTGTCTCTGTCCCTGTCCCTGTCCCTTTCGCTGTCCCTGTCCCTGTCCTTGTCCCTGCCACAATCCAAAGCCAGCAAAAATGTGTGTATTGGTCTCATCGTTGCAACGAATCGGCACTACGAGGAGAAATCTGCTCCGGAAACCACCACGAACCTCTGGGCCTAATCACCCAGGTCACAAACGTCAGTACACCTGATGTAGGATATGTTGGGATCCAGGAGTGGGCATTAAACTCATTAAACAGGACGTCCGAAAACGAAAGTCTGTCGCAGCGGTGCCTTGAACAGCAACTAGCGTTCGACGAGGCCCGAACATGTAACCACCGGTCCCCCCTCATCGCTGAGCACAATGAAGCATGAGGTGCATTGCTATTGAATGACGGTGTAGTTTGCGGCCTGCTACGGGCTAGGCTTGAAGGTAAACCAGCTGTCATTCGTCTCCGTTTTTTGTCTCTTTCTCTTTCGCATTCCACTTGCTTTCTCCTTCTAAATATTCAATCGCTCCATGGGAATACTGGACCTACACGTCCAAGGGAGCCCAAAACCCAGAAATGCTTCCAAGACTACTTTTAAAGGGCCGAAGCTGCAGTCCAAAGGTTTACCATTACAGGTCCTTAAAAACAAATGCACGCGATCCAGGTGTTTGTCTTTCGGACGTTGGTGCGGGGTTTCCTTCCCTCCTCTCCCCCTCTCTCTCATGTACCCTCGGCTCCTCCGCCAAGTGGGAAGGGCGGATGGATGGGTGGACTTGGGTGTTGGTTTCGGATTGTGGTCCTGGGTCTGTGCCAGCAAGGCAGGGCAAAATGAGCCGGAACGCGGCCTTGCGTGCTGGGGCTAAGTATTAAGTTCGGAGCTGACCCACGAACCGACACATGCGCAAAGCTTGCAGGGCCCGGACACTCTGCTTGAAGCCCGGCTCGTGCTTATCCGGGTGGTACCGCACCCGCAACGCCTTAAGGCCTGCCTAACAAGAGGAATGACTGTCGCTGGAAATTGCCACGAACTCTACCGCAAGCTGCCTGGCGGTCGTTTTCAGGAGCTTGCCGCAGGCGGCAAAGCTCCTGGCGTCTGGTCAGATTCGATCATGATGGCCCCGCCCCGACCCGCTGCCCACCTTGCGGACGTCCTCGGACTCGCGCAGCTCCCGCAAAAGCAGCTTGGCCGCGTGCCTCAGTGTTTGGGTGAAACAGCCCCGTCTCTATTTCCAAGACCTCGAAGGCTGAGGGGCAGGCTGCAGTTTGTTTTCGCTGGGGATCTGCCTCGGGCAACGCTAGGGGCATGCCATGAGGCGAGAAGGCTTCAAGAAACCCAAGCGGCTGCCGACGAAAGCTTGGTCCGAAATTGGTCCGACTTTTTCTCATTGACATGCGAAGCTACTTTGTATGCTCAAGGGCCCTGCAGCGGCGGCACAAGAAGATACACATTCACAACCATGGTCTCTACAGGCAAAACAAAGCTGGAATTCAGACTCAACCTGTTCTGATGTTGCCATGTGGCTATACACTATACAGTACAAGGGATGAAGTAACCACTGGAGGTACGACAATGATGTCATCCTCATGCGGGTGGTGTCTGCGAGCTACTGCTTCACGACTCAGCTGCGGTAGGCACAGGCTGCGTGTCCGACTGTGTAGCGTCTGCAGACTCCGCTCTACAACTCACCGGTCACTTTGTACACTCCTGAATGGATTACCTTGATTATAAAATCAGGCTTCAACGACTTCGTAAAACAATCAGCAACTTGCACTAAGCTCGATTTGCGACCTGTTGTCCTGAACCCTACCAGGGGCTTCAGCACTGAGGTGATTCGGTGAGAGAAACATGCGGGACCTTGGTCCCCGCAAGGTGTTCCCATTCGGTCCCTCAGCATCCATAGATTTCTGCCAGGGCGTGCCACAGCTGTTGGGACCTTTCGTTGGACTGTCAGTACACCTAAGTTTTCGAAGTCAAAAGGTCCGGTTTCCATAAACAGATACAAGTTTCGTCCCATCAAAGGCCAACTCAAGGACCTTGTTTGCCTCTTGCAAAGTGCCGAGCTCTCGATACACGGTACAAAATATCTGGCTTGGCCTGCCTAGATATCCACGAAAGGCTGCCGACTACTGAACGGAGCTGGCGCTCCTCACCTCGGTCCACAGGATCCGAATGCCTCCTCTTCGGCTTAATGTCGACATAAGCTACAAGATTTTTGTAGTATTGTCGGTATTGTCAATTAATACGTCATGACCTGACCGGTCAAACTGCTTACCACAAAAGCGAAGTCTACCAGACTCGCGGCGGCCAATCTCAAACTGAGGAGGCGACCTATTATAGTACCGCCCTTGATCGACACCCAGAGGAAGTCGTCGACATGTGTGGTAAGGACACACACGACTTTTCGGCCTTCGCTGTAAAAATAGAGCGCAGGGAAGATCCTGCTAACTTGGAAGCCGACTTTCCCGGTCGACTGTACGCCACTCTGATCAAACGCACGGTGTCCGGGCCGACACCGCGGAGACCGCCACTGGGTTGTCGCATCAAAACGACGCGATCAATGGGCTCTGCTTGGAAGTAGGTGTTCCGTATGTCTGAGCAGGGGCGAACGCTGCAACAAGAGCACGCGTCTCAAGATCCGAAGTAGGAGCATCGGTCCTTACTTCTGTGTGGAATCCTCAAAATTTCCACAAGACACGAGCCTGACTTAAACTCGGGGACGTGGCCTGGCTATAGCCGTTCGTGGTACTTCTTGATTGTATCTACCCTACCTATCCTGCATCTAGCGACATCTATAGCGCGACTTTGCCCAGTGCGCCGGTGCAAACTTTTGGCCCCACTGCACTGCAGAAACCTGGTTGAGAGCAATCACGTCGGCGCGCTCAGGCGGGCCATGAGGCACCTCGGAGCTGCCTGGCCCCTTCCTTTAGGGGATGACGACCTAAGAAGACTTTGAGGTGGGAGGGCCCCCCATCCAGCGCACCATCCGACTCGGAGTCTGTTGCCTGGGCTACCGTGCTTATCTACGCGCCTTCATATGCGCCGGAGCACATCACTGTTGCGTTCCGGTTCCCAGCCACCCTTGCAGAGGGTCTTACCGTGATACATGCAGAACGAGGTCCGGAGCAAGCAAGGCGCTTCCCCGATCCTGCCTGCAAACCCGCAGACCATTGTGGGCGAAGGATCCGGATCTGTGTTTGATCTTCGTGGATGCAACACGGTGGGACGGTCGGCATTACACTGTGCCCATGCCTCCTTATGTGGATAGGAACGCCATTCTCACGCTCTGTGTATTCCTATTCCTACCACGGCAGCAGTGTACGTCTGCGCCCCTCTGGCGGAGCTGGACGGAGGCAGCACCTCTCACTTGCACCCAGGCAGCACGATTGTTGTTGCACCAGCCGGTGCGACTGCTCTTCCGGACACCAGCATTGGCGCAATGTTTGTTCGACCAAGTCTTTGGGCCCAAGATTTTGCGTTTCCGGTGGACGACCGTGTCGCATACTGTGTTGTCAATGAGGATCAACAGATCCTATCCTCATATGACCAGACTCAGCCCACGATGTACCGCCGACACCTTGCGGCGGCACTCGGAGTTCCTGTGAGTGGCCTGGCCCTTTTTCCGTCATGCTCCTGGACGGTATTCTATGCCGCACCGTTTTAGCCGCGGCACAGCGTCATCCGGTGCATAGGCCGGATCCGTGGTGCCATGTGCTTCTGGATCAGAGGCCTATCATGCGAGGTTGGATTACCCTCCCTGTGGAAGGTGGCTTGCTCTCCGTCGATGCTACGCATGGCTGTCTACCACAGGACCTGCCACTTGGTTTCTCAGCTGATGTCCCCGAAATCCCGGTTGGAGAGGTGCTATATGCGATCACACCAGGTCAGGTCCTTCATGTCGAGGCACAGATCACTCACGCGCCGCCTTTTCAGAATCCCTTGGCACTTGCCTCTATGCAGGCGGCGTGCCTGATTCCAGCCCTGAACCGCCGGACCCTGCTAGTGCACCGGCTCCCAGCGCACAGGCCGACTCTGATCTGGACACCCAGGTTGATGCTGCGTACCTCCCTGAGGTAGTGGTTGTGAGAGTCAGTCTTCCTCAGGATGTGCACCGGGCGCTCGCCCTTGTATCTGCTGCGAGGGAGGCAGACCAACGACGTCGGTTCCCTAATTAGACTTCTCCCGGTCTTCTCTCAAACATTTGCGGCAAGGGGCACTCTGGTGGCCGCACCTGTATGGGAATACCCGGGTACCATCATCTGCATATAGAGTGCCGTGTTGATAACCGCTTTTTTGCGCTTGATGGGCCACCCATTCTGCGCAGGAGCGATGTGCTCCGCCTAGCAGGGCTCCCCCATGACGCCCGAGTTCATGTGTATCACAATGATACCCCGTGGCCTATGCTGGATGGTACCATTCTGCATACCAGCACAGCAGATCTCCTGCTCATCCTTCTTGAGGACCATGGCCATTTTGTGACTGCGCATCTCCCCGACATGCTTAGGGATCCTGCAGGTTGGAATCCTGGGGCACCGCTGCCGGGCGACTTCTCCGATACCACCTGGATCCTAGCCGACGAGCGGCATTTTCATTACCTCGTTCGACGAGGTTAGAGGCACCTGATACGCCAGAACCTAGCTACCCTTTTGGGGTGTCAGCCTGCTAGGTTCATCCTGCGACCTGCTGTCCCATACCATATGGATCACACGCATGCGGGATCTCTGTCCAAGGCTATTTTAGTCGCACACATCGCCCCGGAAGGGCGAACATATCAAGAGCCGCGGGTGCCCATTGTGATCCTGGATCAGAGGCCCATGATGCTGGGCTTCAGTTGGCTATGGGCCCACCATGGCCAAGTTGAGGTGGACGCACTTTTGGCTAGATACCAGCACCGATGTGCTGTGGGTTTTGTGCTTGGGTTTGCCAGAGAAGGTGCCCGTACTAGACCTATCCGAAATCCGATACCGGTCAGCGATGGGGATGTGCTGACGATTGAGTATCTCACGCACACACAGGCGGCTGAGGCGGAGCATCCTCACCCCCCCCTCACCTCCGCCCTCACAGGATCCATCTGATACAAGCGACAGCAGTTCCAGTTACACCGCTGATACAGAAGATGATGCTGAGGGCGACTCAAGTGATCGTGCTGGTCAGGGAGCCACTGAGCGTGATGCAGGCACGGGTGCCACACGCTCCTAGCTATGCTCGTCCTTTGGGCCAATGCCTTTTCTTTCGCCAAGCCCGAGTGCACAGTTTCAGTCAAGTAGTCCTGTGGACCAAAAGTCTGGCTGAAGACGCCCCAGAGGAGGGCAACTTTTGGTATATTTCTGTCCTCCTGCGCTTGTGCGGCCTCGAAGCCCTTGCGGCCATTTCACCACTGAGGGCTGCGCTATGTTGCCTTCTGATTCGAGGAGGCAATGCGGGTCGCCGGATGCGAGGCCCCCTCCTTTTGCTCGCTGCGATGCTCGCGCTGCCCCCAGCCCACGCGATGCAATTTTCCCAGGTACCACAGCGGTGTTGCGAACTGCCTTTTTGGCGGAGCGGCTGCTAGCTCCCTAGGCGCCTTGCACCACCGAGCGGCCTTGCGGCTTGATCCAGCCTGCAAGATCACGAGACCCATTCCCACTCCCTGTCGAGCGATCGGCGCACGCAAGATGATTGCTTCTTCAGGAAACGTGGACGAACCGGCATGCAGCCTGGGACGCGATGGGCTTGCCAGCGAGGTCCAACTGGATGATTTGCATACCCTTTTGGAAGATAGTGTCAAGGCACGGCCCCTCGATGCCTTTTTTGAAGTCAGGGCAGTTGCTGAAGCTCTTTACCAGCATTTCGCTGAGGTTCCGTTGACACTGGCCCCTTCGACCTCCGTTTTCCCAGCCCATGGCATTCCTTCGTCTGAGAAACGGCTTCTGCTGTTGGACCACCTGGTCACACCCGTACTGCCTCCAGACGCGCATACTCGACCTGGTACACCAATGACCAGGCCCCTGTGCATCCCTCTGGAACCGCGCATCGCATGGGACCAAGACCTCACCATCGGGGGCACCAAGCTTGGTTTCACTCTTGATGACCTCGCCGGTCTCCTTAATGCTGCTACTGCACAGCTAAGCTGGGGTGATGTCGTGATGCATGTGCCGACTTTTGACGGCAGCAACTTGCGAGATTTTCATGCGGCCTTGCCCGGTCTCTGTGCCGCTACTCCATGTGGGGATCTTGTGATCTACACAGACGGCTCCTACACCCCCGCCACCACGCATCGCCTTGCCAAGGCAGGCTGGGCTGTCATTGTCTTGGATCCGCACGCTGTAGCCGTTAGTTTTGTTTTCGGACCGGTAACTGACTGGCTTGTTGAGGCGGTGCATGAGCTGTCTCCGTATATTGCTGAGTGCTACGCTCTCATGGTTGCTGCTGCTGTTGCAGCACATTCATTCTCCGACAGCTGCTGTCATTTTCTTTCGGACTGCACGGCTGCTATCGATGCAGCCGCAGGAAGGTGTTCCCATCAATTGCATGGCATTCCAGCAGCCATGAGTGCTGCCCACACGTTTCGTCGGCAGCCCTGCCCTGGCGCCGAAATCCATCAGCACATTCCTGGCCATGCGGGGATCCTTGGGAATGAGCTTGCAGATGTCCTTCTAAAGTCAATGTACTTTCTTTGGGCAAGCCTACAGCTTCCTCTGAGGAACCCTCCAGCAACACAGGTCTTGCCTTTCAGCGGGCCCGAGCTGCCTTGTTAGCCGGCCAGCTCCTGTCGCACGATGTACACGTTGCCTTCTTGCAAGAAACTCGAGCCGATGCCGGCCAATCCATGGCCGGGAAGTATATCAGACTGGCGTCTGGTGGCGTTAAGGGTCAATTCGGCACTGAGTTGTGGTTGAAGCAGGGACATGAGATACTTCGAACAGCTGATGGGCTATCCCAAGCCACTTTCCAGAAGGAGTCTCTGTGCGTGCTGGAGGCGGACCCTCGTCGGCTTTTGCTTCACACAGGGCACTTTCTCCGTTCTCTTTGCGGCGCTGCACAGCTCACATAGAGCTGTAGAACAGTATATACTTGAGAATTGGTGGCGGGAAACGATCTGTCTCCTGCGCCAGCACAGCCGGCAATCCCTGGTTGTGGTTGGAGGCGACTGCAATGATTCTGTAGGTAGCCTGTGCTCCAAGCACATCGGCGCTTTAGCTGCCGAAGATGAGGATTACTTCCTGCACACCTTGGTGCGCACTTTCGACCTTTGTCTCCCGGCTACGTTCCCGGAATGTCATCGTGGCCCGTCGGCTACGTATACCCAAAAACATGGAGGTAGGTTACGTCGGCCTGACTTTGTGGCCATCCCCCGCGAACGGCTTCAGGGGAATGTCGTCTCTCGCTGTGAACCAGGTATCCAGGCGGCCCACGCCACGCCAGACCATGTGGCAGCTACCGTCCTGGCTGAGGTGCACTTCACGCAGGACAGGCTTCCTGCACGTCTCAAGCGGCGTAACATTTGTGCCGCGACGAAAACGGCGCCCGAAAACGGGCCAGCTATCAGCGAGGCTTTTCGCACTGCTCCTCAAGTTGACTGGGATGTGTCTGTACACGCCCATGCCGCTCTTCTGGCGGATCATATGCAGCAGGCGCTACAGGCGATCGGCCAGAGCAGCAACCCCACAGGCCGCATCACGCGTACCTGTCGGACGCTACTTGGATGCTCCAGCGACAATGTCTCTAGGACCCGTCATGACCTGTACCGCCTAACCCACCAAATCTGCCGCAATGACATGGCTATAATTTTCGTAGCTTGGGCCAAAGGTGTGCCACTAGGACAAGTAGCGGCAGCTGGGTTACCATGGCAGCGCCGAGCAGAAGCGGCTTGCACCCGTTTGCGGCGCCAGCTTCAGTCTGGCTGCAAAGCCCTCAAAAAAGCATGCCGCGCGGACAGAGATGAGTATGTGACGCGCCTTGCCCACACGCTGTCCACGGCCCCTACGAAGGAAGCCTATGCTGCGTACCATCGGCTACTGGCGCACAGGCGCAAAAAGACGTTCAGCTGCCTCGGGTTCACGACGACCAGGGCCAGGTTTGCCCGGACGCTGAATCGTCGCGAGAGCGTTGGAGGGAACATTTTTCTCGCCTGGAAGCCGGCCGGCCCACCACTTTTGCGGACATTGCCCGGGATGCTGCCACTCCGCTCTTGGATCGAGATCACAGAAGTGCCCAGTGTCACAGACCTGCGGAGGGTTTTGGCAGCTACTAAGATCAACAAGGCGGCCGGACTTGACTCCATACCGCCAGAGCTCAATAAGTTTTTCGCGCAGGAGTCCGCCCAAATGTTGCATCCGCTTCTTGTCAAAACCCTTTGGGCTGGAGTGGAACCAGCGGGGTTCAAAGGCGGGCGGGCCGTTATTCTGTACAAAGGCAGAGGCTCTACTACAGCATGTACATCATACCGATCGATCCTCTTGATGAATACGTGGGCTAAGGCCTTCCATCAAAGTGTGCGGCCCAACATTCGGCAACTCTTTGAGCAGTCGGCCCCCAGCTTACAAATCGGAGGGAAGGTTGGTTGTAGCACTGCCTACGGCACGCATGTCCTCCGGGCAGTCACTCGCAGAGCAGTGAGCTGTGGTGTGTCCAGTTACATCCTCTTCGCCGACATATCGGCAGCCCTTTACAGTACTCTCTTGCAGTTTGTAGCGAGCGTCAGTCACAATTCTGGCCCGCACATGATTGCGCGTGCACTTGACAGCCTTGCCCTTCCTGCAGATGTTGCAGAAGACATCGAGGCTATGCTCAGCCTACGGCGCGAGCCTCTACATGGTTAGAGAACATTGCCGTTTCCATTGGGAGCGATAAATGGTTCCTTCTAGCCCAGGACAGTACTCCGATTTCCACCGCATGTGGCACCCGGCCAGGTAGTTCGTGGGCGGACATCTTGTTCGCGATGCTTATGCCCCGCATCTTCCGACACCGCGATATGCTCCTTCAATCTCCTTCAGCAGCTGGATTCCCAGCCTCGCAGTCCAGAGCTTCCCTGGGACGGCTGTCGCACGCTTGCACCTTGCAGCGCAGATTCAGGTACCATCCGCGTACAAGAGGTTACCTGGGCGGATGACATTGCTACTCCGCACCAGTGCGCTGACGCATCCGAAGTGGAAGCGTGCCTACGGGCTGATGCCACCGCGCTCACGGAGGCTTATGCCTTTGGATTCCGGCTTTCTTTCGGTGCGGCAGCCGCAGCAGAGCGGCCAAGCGTCGGCTTTTCGGTAATCAGGGCCTTAAGAGCCAAATCCCTATCCTTCTTGAGCACCTTCCCGGATTGTGTCTACCCTTACCCGCCAAGTATAAGCATTTAGGGTCGTATCAGGCACCTCTTGGGTCCATGATTGAGAAGCTGAAGTACCGGGCCGCCCAGGCCAAGAGTGCTTACGGAGAAGCGAGGCGTAAGATCTACAAGCCTCGGGGCATCCCTCTCCGTAAGAAGGCGGTCTTCTTGGCGACTACGGTGCTACCCAAGTTGATGCAGAGTGCGGGCAGCTGGCCCCCCTTTAACAAGCGGGAGGAGAAGCTCTTTAACGGCACCGTCTGGACCTTGTACCGAAGTGTCCTGGGAGTTCCCAGTCAGGAGAACCAACGGATCACAGCGGCCACGTGTTTTGCGATTCTGCAGCTGCCTGACCCCCGCACACTGCTTCGGCTCTCCAGGCTGTCCTACTTAGGCCAAATGTTTCGCAGTGGCCCCGCGGAGTTGCGGGCTGCTGTGCGATCAGATCCTCCGTACGCCACTATGGTCCACGGGGACCTGGTCTGGCTTTTCTCGTGGTGTTGGAAGACTGTGGATTTGCCTAGTCCGGACGTGGACTGGGATGCTTGGTCGCGATTCATCACCACGCAGCCTGGTAGATAAGGCCCTTTGCAAGCGGTCGCGAGCCCTGCAGGTTGCCCAGTACACTGCTGCTCTTGACGGCCTACATCGGGCCTTGAGCAAACTGACCCACAGTCAACTTCCTCCTGCGAGTGCGGATGCGAGTTACCCTAGCAGGACGTCGTGGGCTGGACACGCGGCGCGATGCCACGGCTATCGCAGCCACGCGTACCTCCTCCCTGAGGACTGCGTGTGCAGGGCCTGCGGTAAGCTCTTTTCGAGCTTAGGGCGTTTGAGACGGCATCTGACTGGGACCCCACGATGTGTGGCCTCGTGGGGAGCCTTTCAGCCCACCCAGGCCAGTCTTAATGCTAAGGCACATGTCCTGGCACCGCCTGCTCCGTGTAGCAGGCATCTGAGTCCCCTCCCAAGTAGGACCGGTCAGGGGACTACAGTAGGGCCCTCCTGGAAGAGTTATCCGGTCTGGAGACCGCAGAGGATGCATGCATCAGGGAGGCCATTGAAGGTTGCATCGAACCCTTGGCTGTACTTCGAGCTACCGTTGAGACTGCTTGGACTGTCCTGTGTGGGGCCCCATCGGCAAGCTCCCCTTGGCCCTTACCGGAGACCCGTTTACTGCAGAGCTAGCTGCTCCGCCGCAGCATCTCCTTTCTCCGTTCGAACCCGTCAGTGTCTCTGTTAAAGAGGCGACGGCGTACGCGGTCTCGATTGAGGCAGCGTGTGCGCAGTGTGCTATCTCTGCTGCTCAAGCAGTCGCACGTCCCATCAGCCTTCACTGTCCGGGCATTCAACATGCCCTCGGCCCTGCCTTTCAATGGCTTGGCGCCTGTGGATTTAGTTTTGGCCCCGAAGGGATGCACACGGCTGCGTGAACTGTTTCACCTTTGTTTAGTGAGTTGAATTCATGCTAGGTGAGCGTTCGAAGAGGACACTACCGCTGAGAATGGAAAAAAATGGCAGTGCAGCGGCGACGCTCTTGACAGAACGAGTCATCTGACTTCGGGGTGGATGCACGCGGTCTCGCAGCAGATCCGCTACCTGCGGCTGATGCATCCATGTCAGGCCTGCCCACAGGGTACAAGCCCGAGCCGGGTTTCAGTGCGGCTGTCGCCGCTGTCGCCCCTGACCGGCGATTTCGTTTTCGCACAATCGCGTCTTTCTACAGTCTAAGCCTCATGGACGTCTAAACTCCCAGTCATGGAAAGTATTGGGCGACCCGTCATAGATGCAACTGCCACTGCCGCTTCTAGTCTCCAAAGGAGTACTAGAGTAGGAGGATCGAGAAAACCGAAGTCCCGCGACTGACATGACCAAAGGCAAACGGTGAATTCGGGTGTCTGCGCAGGGGTCGATATAAGGCTCGCCCAAGCCTCACGAGTCTACCTGCTACTCGGTCCCGCTCGGCCAGTCCACCAAGGGGACCGGCTCCGCGGTCGGACTTTTCCCAATGCACTGCGAAGCTACACCGTATGCACAAGAGCCCGACAGTGCCGGTACAGGAAGATACACATTCACAACCATGGCCGCTACAGGTAAAACAGAGCTGGAATTCAGGCTTGGGTTTGGAGTCTTCGTTTTCGGAGGTTCGAAGTGACCTCAGGCATCCTCAGGCCGAGAATAGACGAATCTGATTTAGAAGTTTGCGGTCACTCTGAGAACAGTGCTCGCCGTTCTCGGTGACAATGCCCGCAACGGTGGCGTGTGGCAATGTTGGCTTTTGGCCATCTGAAACTTCGCTGCACCTTGCGGCGACAGTTCAAGCGGCTGAAGGACTCGGACGCGACAAACTGTGCAGATCAAGATCTTTGCAACTCGGCTGCTTCTCCCAGTCATCATCCTCCGACGAGCCCGACCGAGTAGAACCCGAGCCCCAGTTCTTGCACTTTGTCTCAGCCTTCCGTAAACAGCATCCCACGCTTAGAGCGAGTGCGCTGCTAAGCACTGCCGACTGATCGAGCGCTTGTAAACCTCACAGCGACCTTGACATCTCCGGCATGAGCTTTCATCGTCAGCGGCTCTTCCTTCGAAGACCTGGGCTGCAGGCACCCCTTCGCCTGTAGTGAGACCAAAGCTTCATGTACATTACAGCTCGCAGCATCAAGCAGGCTTAAGATAAGTGTCTGCACTGCTTTTGGAGATTCGTTCTCGCGCTCCTCCTCGCAGGCAAAAGCCAAACTGAAATACGTGTCATTGGCCGGCCAGCTGGTCTCTGGGCTTCCCAGCTCTCGGCTTCTCCAAGTCATCCTCCGAGGAGTGTGATTTGGAGCAAGACGGGCAACTTGGGGTGTCCATGGCTCTTAGTCTTGCGATGCCGCTTAACTAGCCTTCCGCAGACGGCTGGGGTAGATTATGGTAGATTTTACACCTCGCGGCGACCTGTAGGACTTCTGCTTTCCGCACCGTCGACCCATTTCTGCGCCTCCGGAGCTCGCAACTTGTCCATTGTGGCGCACTGCCCACCTGCTCGTGGGAAGAGAGTTCATACAAGCTCAGCTGTAACATTCTGTGCCGTGGGCTTCTGGGGGGCAGGGCTCGTGAGGGCCACGGCCTTACACTGTTCAAGTAATCTTGACAAATAGTTTGAGGATCATGCCCTTTTGCTTGGACATGTAGTTATGTAGTTCGTCAGAGTCCTGCGTCGCGCTGAGCGATGGCACCACTTGCTGCAAAAATTCAACGCAGAGCCTGGAGTCCACAAATGCTGCAAGTGATTGAAAGCCTCGTCACCTAGTCTGGCAGGCGAACATGCCCAGAGCCCTTTCCGAGGCTTCAAGTTCAAGGCACAAGTACAGATTACACCAGCCGCCGTTTTTTGCAGGAGGCCGCACATACTCCACTAAGAAGTTTGGTGGGCAAGTCGTTCTCTTCAAGCTGGGGACTCTTGACTGAGACTACGCATCCTGGGTTTTCGGTTTACGAACGAGGCGAAGCCCGGCCCTAGAAATCTTCGGCCTTTCCCGGTGAAGTCCAACCCTACAAACGACGGACGCCCCTAACCAACTGGGCGAAGAAAAACATTCAAATGTGAACGTCTGAAGCTGCACCGCGAAGCCTGAACACCTCCACCTCCATGAAGTGCATCTGTGTCGGGGTCCATTGTGCTACTGTCGGCGTGAAACGGTGGCTGTCTGTTCCAGGAGCCATGTGTCTCCAGTTGTCGTCGTCTTTTGAACTTTTGCCCGCTTTGATTCACAGTACCGACATGTAAGCACTAGGGCCCCTAGAACTCCGGAAACTATTGGTTTGGAGGGTGTTCGCCCCAAGTGACTTCTTAGATTTGCAAGTTGACTTACTCATTCAACTTGGTGTCCGCTTCTCCGTCGACATCTTGACAATTTCCCGGTACCGTTGCTCTTCCGGCAATCGTTTTCACGCTGCTCTCTCATGTGGTCTGTTCGTTCACTGTCTCTTTAATTTCCTATCTCGGAATCTGCGAAAGTAACTGCATTTTACTGCTCGCCTGCCGCCCACAACACCCCACCGCCACTTCCACTGCCCGGTTCCATTCTCAAGAGTTTGGGGAGGTAAAAGTACACAGCGACTCAGAAAATACTGAGCGACGGCCCGTAGCCGCTCACTTATCGACTTGATAGGCTTGAACCCACCGGTGCATGTTTATGCTGCTGGACATACATACACGCTAGACTAACCGCAGCACTTAAAAAGCAAGACTGGTTACCACGATTGCTATAATCGTGACATCACAGAGACGATGATGTGTGTCGTCAGTGCGCTGTATGTGCTGCATATGCTGGCCTTCATAACAACACATCCGTCTGTTGCACAGCGACAACCATTGTTGGAATGACAAGTGACTAATATGCATAAACTCTGACTGACAAATTCGGCCTGAGCTCCTCTGGCATGTGTAACACCTCGATTGCACGAACGGCACGACTCCATTGTTGCGATGACTTGGCAAAGCAAAGCTCTTAGAACAGTGCTCATCACCAGCAATGCCAACCAAGGCAGCATGCGGCAATGCAGGCTGCTGTGGATGGTCATTGCGATCTGAAAGGTCGTCGTGCCTTAAATGCTGCAAGTCTCCGGTAGCTGGAGGAAGCAAAAGCGACAAACGGCGGTTGAACAGTCTTTGCAACTCGGCGGCTGCTCTTCCAAGCTGTCCTCCGATGCACCCGACCGGGTGGAAGCGGTCAGCCTTCAGCAATGGCTTTGGCAAACCAAAGCTGCAAAGCTCCAGGCCAGCAGACCACAAAAGCAAGCGCACCGTAAGCTCTGAGAACAGTGCTCGCCATTTGCCGTGGCAACGTACACCGAGGCAGCATGCGGGAATGCTGACGGCTGTTGATGCTCGTTGCGATCGGTGTCCGCGCCGCACCTTACTCCGTTCGTTGGCGGAGGAGTAGAACATAGTAGAACTCCGGGCTAGCAAACTGCCTTGACGAGGCATCGCCTGCCACGTCCAACTGCTCCGAGAGCTCCAGGGCCAGCTTCTGTACAAAAAGAAGCTGAGCATGGGCTGGGAATTGCCTCGGACGCAAGCTGAAACATCACAGCATGACAGTCTTGAAAAGCAGCGCTCACGTGCGCCAGGGCACACCCAGGTCTCCAGCTGCTGCAGGACCCTCGAGCGATGGCATGTCTCCGGCGACGCTTTGCACATCTTTTCGAAATGGATGCTTTGTTCGGACTGCAGGCGACTGCGGACTGTCGTGCATGTATAAAATGTGCGAATGTGCAGATCCTTGTTGATCAGCGAGAGGTATGTTGCTGCATAAGCCAAAGCTGAGTTCGACAAGATGAGCTCGAGAACATGAGTGCGCAAACGTAAGAAAGATGCTCTGTACTGACCAATGCCACCGAGTGCAAAGCAGTCCGTCGGATCGAGAAAGTAAAACCTGAGAGGCACAGAAGAACGTTCCGGCTTGCCGACAACTGGACAGACCGCGACCCGGCCTAGCGAGTCTACCCACAAGCGGCCAAATGCCAAGTTTCCATGATGCAAGGCCAAGACCATCTGCCGTCAAACAAAAATTGAGGACCGAGCGCCCACGCACCAT